CTCAGCAAGTAAATCTTGGTATTTCCCATTTTGAATGCCCAAATCGTCACTGTACGTGTCCAATTTGGCATTCAGTGACTTGTTTTCATCACACACCTTAAGAAGTGCTGTCATAAAGAAAGGCCAAGAGTGTATTATGTACGCCATTTTCCTTTCTATGTTCTTTTGTTCAGCAATTTCTTTAAGATATATGATGATGTGTTCATCAGTTAGAATGGTGTGTTTAGCTTCCCATTCTATGCTTTTCAACCAAACCTCATAGGTTGCATCATTTTTCATATGTTTATGAATATGAACTAGAGCATGTTTTCTTAGGTCTTCAATTATTTCAGTATTATCTGTTACAGATGTATTACTGGATTCAGCCATATTTCTATACAGTGATTTAATCTCAATACAAAACTCTTTTCTATATCAAGATTAAATTGCATGAATTACACCAATATTATTATATATATGAAATACAATTTCAACTTAAACGATCTCAGCAGCGTGCCTCCAATATGTGGGGATATTTATGGGATAATAATAGTAACAGTGAGAATTGCCCACTATTTCAATTCTCAGATCCCAAAGAACGTTTATCGTGTTAAGTGGAATGTATTTCATATAATAATATCACAATGTATAAAAATAGATTTTTATTTATAATAACAAATTAATAATAACAACATGTAACATGCATGACAATAATCAATGAATATTCAGTATAAAACGATATGCAATACAAAGAAATGGGTATTACGTTTCAATGGCTAAACGGCATTATCTGTCAAGAATTCTGAGGATTTATGAGGTATCCTTAACATAGACTTTTCACAGCTAAGAACAGAATTCCTCAGAGTGCAGCGTAAGGTCGTAAAGTTTAGCAGACAGTTAGAATAACCCTTTCAATGCTGGCTAGATCTCCTAGGTAGTTAAGATCTATTCTTATGTATTTTTAAATAAAATAACATTTAAACCAGTTCACTAGTCATTTTCTTAAACCATCCATAAGAGAATTTACCACATTATATAAGCAGATTTTTAATTTGTCTAAAAGATATCTATCTTAATTTAGAGCAAATCAATACACCTGGATAAAAACAGCGGTATGCTAACACGTGATAATATCACATCAATATATAATTATTCTTAATTCCACCTGCAGAATGGAATGTTTATAACTATATATTCTTAGTTAACTAAGATTTCTTAATATGGAAATCTGACCGTGCTTTATCCAGTCATATATAATGCTATTAATACATTTTAATTAATTTAATTTAATTAAATGAAACCAGTATAATTACCAGTTGAGTAGATATTTCATCCGATTGGTAGTCTCTCTGCATGGAGGTGTTGGTTAGAAAGTCAGTAAATTCTAAGTGTTAGAGTTTTAGGAGTAGAATGTTAGTCTCAGATGTTGTCCGAGTTGGAATCCCCAAACTTCCAATTCCTCTCTTTTCTCTTTTGCATATCTTGCATCTGCCTCCTCTCCTCTATATCTCTTGTCTTCCCTTTGTCTTAACTTTTAAAGGGCCAGACTCTCTGTACGTCATCAGTTGATAACCCAATAGAAGCACTAGAGGTGTGGTTATCTTCCAGATCGCAAATTAGTTATTTGGTCTGTAGAGGGCAGTCTTGTCCCACTAAACATACCTATCCAGGAAAGAGTTAACTTTTCCTGGTGGCTATTTTGACGTCATTTTGCGTTATCTTTATAGCGCCATAATTTAAAATTTCAAAGGGTTTCTTAAATTTTGTCCAGACTTAGCGTCTGCAATTCCTGCCATAATTTCTGATATGACAGATCATGAACTAAGTTTACCCTTTTCCATACAATGGTACCTTATATATATAGACAGTTAAATATTAAATTATTTAATCTTCTCTGTCACAATTGTCTGGGTTTAGATTTGATTATATTCCTCTTAGCATTAGACAGTCTGTCCAACCCCCTTCCTTATCACTTGGCTTGTATATACCATGCATTCCTCAGCTCTGGGAAAGTGGTTACCTTACAGATAGAAATATAGTGTCATTTTGTTAACTTGAATAACAAAATGGAGTCTGGTCTGTTCAGAGTGACTCAGAATATACACTTTTAGTTTCTATCATAGCACAAAATGTCTGCCGATATAAATACTCTGACACCACTAATGCATCTTTCTTGATGGAAACATTTATTTACCGCCCACCAGTTTTCGCGCAAGTGCAGAATATTTTTTAGAAAGGAGGGTGTTTTAAAAAAAATAAATGTACTTACATTTATCTTTTTATTTCTACTTAATGCATGTTTATAATGTTTTTAACTTTATAAAGTTTAATGAGAAAACAATAAAGTAAATTGAAATTACCTTTACTAGTGATTAATGAGATCCTTGAGGTTGATGCTGCGAGACAAAAATTTGATATCTGGTTCGATTTTCGTAAGGAACAAACGAAGGTCTCCTCTTTCGGTGACATTCAGACGACTTCTCTGTTTGCGCTTAATATGACTTCTCATCTGTGCGTCAGCTCATCTCCTCTCCCTCCTTAATTCCCCTCCCCACTTTTTTCCCTTTTTTCCTATTTTTTAACCTTCTTATAGTAATGCCCATTAAGAAGGCTGAGCTAGGTAGCCCACTTACTATAGCCCACTATAACAGACAGGCACAAATACATACATACAGACACACACACACACACACACACACACACACACACGAGACACATACAAAGACACATACATACAAACAGACAGGCACACATACATACATGACACACAGACAGACAGACACACAGACAGGCACACATACAGACACACACACACACACACACACAAGACACATACATACAAACAGACAGGCACAGATACATACAGACACACACACACACACAGACACACACATAAGACATACATAGACACATACACACATACAGACACAAGACACACATACAAAGACACATACATACAAAGACAAGACACACATACATACACACATATATACAGACACACACACACACACACACACACAAGACATACACACATACAAAGACACATACACACACATACAGACAGACACACACAAGTCACAAGACATACATACAAAGACACATACACACAAACAAAACACACACAAAATATTTTAGCCACCCTCCTGTTTCCTACCTTTTAGGTGCAGGAGGGTGACATTCCCTGGGGTCCAGTGGTGGCTCAGGTGGATGGGAGTCAGAGTTCCCACTCTGACTCCCTCTGCTTCCTCCCACGCAGTCTGTGTGTTAGCTGGGAGGAGTGACGTGCAGTCACTTCCTCCCAGCTCTGGGATGTAATCACAGAGAGCCCGGTCGCGCTGTTAAAGCGCCCAGCGCTGACCGGGCCCCATTACAATCCACATCCATTGGGTGGCCCTGACAGCATGGGCCACCCGATGGACCCCTTGGATGGCGGCCCCGGCGGTTTGCCGCGCGGGCCGGGCCGCAAATGGCTCGCACCTGCCCACCCGCCCAGTCTCTCAAAACTAGGAAATCCCTACCGCCCACCTGGAATCCTGAAACACCCACTAGTGGGCGGTAGGGACCAGGTTGACGACCCATGACCTACACCATTCGGTTTTACAAGTATTGCGCTAAAAATAGAGAGAAAATAAATAAATAATATTTATTCTATACCTTCCTACAAAATTGATTCACCGAACCTAGTGAGAAGTTTGTGTACCTCGTAATAATTACAATTATATCTTATCTATAGCTTCTCTGTTACCAACTTATGTTTTACTCATTTTCATACTCTAGTGATATTTAACGTGAGACTTAGTGTTCCCAACAGGATAATTCTTTTAAAAGTTTTAAACACACTTAAGTATTTTCATAAAGTTAATTTTAACTGTCAATATTATAATTAGTCATATAGTGTTCCAAAAAAGTGTTGGCATATTACGCTTAAATTTCCCAATTTACATAACTTACATCATTCTCTATTATATATTTTCTATATGAAAGACAATAAAAATGTTTTTTCTCTTTTCTCTCCTCCTTTTCCTCCTTTTTCTTTACCCATCCATTAACCAATAACTTATCTTGTCGTCCCCCATTAATCGTTGATTAAATTATTTCAATCTAGCTTCTTATTGTTAAGCCAGTCCTTTACTTTTTCTGGGTTTTCAAATGTCTCCATTTTACCCCCAATTACAATAATCAACTTGATAGGGAAACCCCATCTAAATCTTATGTTATGTTTTTTGAGGATGGCAATTTCAGATGCAAACGCTCTTCATTTAGATCTTGTGTTGTAAGATAAGTCAGGAAGGGCCATAATGCTGGAGTAATGACCATCTTTTATGATTTTTCTCTTAGCTTTCAAAACTTTCTCCTTAAATTCAAATGAATGGAAACAAACTTTAATGTCTCTAGGTACTTCAGGAGCAATATTGAGAGGTTTATTTAACCTATGACATCTGTCGATTTTCTCTTCATGGCCATTGAATGTAAAGCCCAAGGATATGAAATAATCATTCAGTATTTGCCTTAAATGTTCTTGTTTGGCTGTTTCTTTAAAATTTCGGAATCTTAAAAAATTTTCTGCGGGAGCGATCTTCAAGATCTTTATTTTCAAGGTGGGATATTTTTGTTGACATTCTTATAGATTCAACTTTTAGTGATTTTATTTGAAAATCCATATTTCCAACTAGATTTTCCAATATTTGAATCTTATTTGTTAATTTCGTTATGCAAGTTCTGATTTCTTGCTTAATTTACGCTTAATTTGAGTATATTTCTTTCTTGATTTCTTCCAGAATATTCTCCAGATTTGCATTAAGGACATTAACGGTAACCTCTTCTTTTTCTTTTCTAATATCCATTAATGATAAATCTAGATTAGACAATGATTCTCTGTTAATTCTTTAGATTGAGGTGAGACTTTTATCCTGTTTAGGATCTTTTTTTTCCCTATTTTTGAGGACTCTCCACTAGAGATGTCGCGAACCGTCCGCGAACTTCTCGCGAACGGTTCGCCGCGGTTCGCCACGAGCTGTTCGCGGCGAACTCCGGTCAGCTGACACGTCCCGGCCAGTCTCCAGCAGACCCTCCCTCCCAGACCCTCCTACTTCCTGGACAGCATCCACATGGTGTCCAGGAAGTAGGAGGGTCTGGGAGGGAGGGTCTGCTGGAGACTGGCCGGGACGTGTCAGCTGACCGGAGTTCGCCGCGAACAGCTCGTGGCGAACCGCGGCGAACCGTTCGCGACATCTCTACTCTCCACCCCCTAGCCCAGCAGAATCGGAGGGCTCTGTGTCATGAGAACCTAACATTAAAGAGCTCCTGAAAAATCTACTATCAAAAGGGTAGAGGAAGAATATGCTAGCTAAATTAGAATCTTCGTTCCAGAAAAAAAAATGGAGGCCTTGGGATCCTACATCCGCAATGTTGGCAATAGAGTGAGCTCCATGGAAAACGACCAAGACTTATTATTCGACCAGGTAGAACAACTTCAGTCGGCCTTAGAGGCCCAAAACACGTCCTTATCCTTTTACCAAAGATCCCTAGATGACTTGGATAACCAGGGTAGGAGGAACAACCTGCGCATTAAGGAGCTACCGGAGCGAGACAATGAAGACCTGCATGCAACTCTAAGGGAGCTATAACTTATTGTTGGACAAGCCAACAGACACGCCAGTGCTTTTAGACAGCGTACATCTCTCTTTGCATCCCAGAAAATGCATCTTCAGACAAGCCAAGAGATGTAATCTGACGGCTCCATTACTTTTCCCATAAGGAAGAAATACTGAAAATTCTCCGCCAATCTACTTCCCCACTCTTATTCCACGACAGTCCAGTGCAAATTTATCCTGATTTGTCATAGATGACTCTCCAGGCCAGGAGAGTGCTCAAGCTCAATACTGACCAGCTGCGGGTCCGCAATATACATTACACTGGGGTTTTTCCTTTGCTCTAATAGTCATGACTCATGGAGAGACATAGACCATCTCCACAAGACGTACAACCCTTCGTGAGAGCTCTAGGGCTTCAAGACATGCATATCCCTGACTGGTACTAACCAGTCCAACCATCCACCGCCCAACATCTTCCTCAGAGATGATGATGGCAATCTGCTGGGAGGAAGAGGCGAACAGACCAGCGAGAACACTGTCTTACTCCAAATTCCCCAAGAGCACCGACATCTTAAGATCGCCAGCTGCAGTAGGGTGAAGGCCACAATAAGTTTTTGTTCTCTGGGTTTTCCGTGACTACAAATTTTTTGTATTTTTTTTTGCTCAGATATTGGGACTACTTTACGCCATGACCAAATAGCATTATCAAGGTCCCATATCATCATATGCATATCAACAGGACGAGAAAGAAAAAGGAG